GAAATTGTGTTTTATTTTCTACAACCTGCCTTTTGGTCCTCTTCTCTTTCCTTACATGGTACAGAGTAAATTTTCATTTCATAGTGTTTATATGTTTAACATAATGCAAAATGAGATGAATTTTATAACTTAACTGTACTGAGTGGTAAGTGACTGATATTGGTTCCAGTTGAAAAGTATTTCGTATTTTATTAGAGAGCAAAGCCTCTAGCAAAAGGAATTGAATTCAGTTGGTTTCACTACGTACAACAGGAAGATAAAACTCATTTACTAAGGAAATAAAGAAAAGAAGTGGGGAGAAGGGAGAGGTATTGGTCTCAGGGTACAATGTCTTTCATTAGACTGGAGGAATGCATGCTAACTGCTCCAGGTGATGGATATATTGTCAAGTAGCTTGATCCAATCACTCCACTTGGCACCAGCCATCATAGCATCAATTCATATGCCATAAATATATACAATTATAATTTGCCAATATCCAATGAAAGTAAATAAGTAAAAGACATAAAGAAAGAATTGAGGAACAATTGTAGTTTCATCCAAATACTATGTGATGACAGTTCAGCTTCTAGTGGCAAATGTCTAGGTGTGTCAGCCAACCCAACCTGCTGACAGCAAAGAAACAAGCAAACAAAAAGATGGACCACATCAGAGAGCCTCGAGCAAAGTGGGAATTTTCAAAGGTGTCTTGCACTGGATTCAGAAAGCACTACCGGTAAAGGGCAGGGTTGATAAGCTGGAAAGGTGTGCTGATGGGGAGAGTGAAAAGGCCATGCACAGAGATGAACATTTGCAACCTGTTTAAATGACAGAGGATGCATATATCCTGCATGGAGAGAGGACTCCTATAAAATCAATAAGTCAAAGACTAACCACCCAATCGAAAAATGGGCAAAAGATTTGAATGAGCACTTTACGCTTGGACAGCCAAATGCCCGATGCGCATGTAAAGATGACATTGAACCTCGTTGGGTATCAGGAAAATTTATGTTAAAATTATGAGGAAAGAGACCTCCATACAACCACCAAAATGGCTAAAATAAGCAAGACTGACACCATCAAATATTAGAAGAGATATAGAGAAACTGGACTTCACTTACCCTTTGGAAAACCTACAATCCTGACCATAGACCCATCCAGAAAACTACAGATCCAGATCCAAAACTACAGAAATCCAGAAACTACAATCCTGACCATAGACCCATCTCATTCCATTCTTTAGTATAGACCTGACAGAAATGTGTATTTATGTGTGCCAAAAGATTTGTTCAAGGATGTTCATAGCATCACTATTTATAAAACCCAAGGACAAGAAGTAACCTAAATGTTTGTCAACAGTAAAATGAATAGATAACTGGGAGTGTCTTCATACAACAGAATAGTATAAAGGAATAAAAAATGAAACAAACCACTGCATGCTATAGTGTGAAGAGTTCTTATAAACATAATGTTAAGTGAAAGAAGCCAGACAGAATGATAAACACTGTATTATTCCACTTATAGAGAGTTTAAAAGCAGGCAAAGTCAATCTGTGATATTAGAATTTAGGATAGCAGTGATCTCGGCATGGGGAAGTGCTAATTATTGGAAGGAAATATCAGGGGGCTTGTGAGCTGCAGCTAAAGCTAAATATGTTGACTTGGGCAGTGGTTCCCTGGGTCATTTGCTTATCAGTGCAAGTGTGATGTGCACACTTTTCTTCAACGACAGAAACATTATTAAAATTTTTAATGCTTCTCCGTTGGGCCAATCACCTGTGAGCACCTCCGTTATGGGTCTAAGGATTGTTGTTACCTGAAATAAAATCCCACTTGCATATCAAGCCTCAGGTAAAGCAGAATTTTTATGGATGTCCATGCACTTCATTTTCTGTGTCTCTTCCCCTTTTGGGCACAAGTGGGTTTCCTTTTCCCTTTTAGCATTAGCTAGAACTACAAGGGTACGACGTGTGGTTTTCCAGGGAATAGGTTACCCCATGGCCTGATTTTCAATACATGCCTATCCCGATGAAGATCTGTGAAACTTGGTGTGCAGTGATTTGAAGCTATCTCGGGGAGTGAAGCTTAAGAAAATACAAGTGCCATCTGATTTCCCTGGGCACATTTCCACGGTGGAGATGCTTGCTTGTTTCTAACACTGTACATTTTTTTGAGCCTTAATTGAATAGCCTGTCTGACGCTCGCTGGCTCTTTTGTTAGCATAAACACTGAAGGGAAAAATGTCCAAGAAAGGAGAGTATTTAGTGTCTATTCACAGTGACTAATGCAATTATTTCCCTCCGGAGAGTCAATACCATGCTGATGTTGACATTTATGGCTAAATGGACTGAACTGGTTTTCTGGGAGGCTACATTACAATCTCTCTGTTTGATCCATCAGATTATTTCGTACTGAAATGCCTGTTCACATTCATTCTCTCTATTTCTCACTGGCGAGATCTCAGAGCCAACCTCACTCTTCACAGTGGAGTAGAGATCACATAGGATAAAAGACTAAAAACATTGTCTTAAAAAATGAGTTAGTTTATCTCTTTAAAAAAAAAAAAGACTGAAAACCAGGAAATCAAGTATTTCCAGTTTTCTAGAACTTAAATTCTCTCCCTGCATTTCTCTTGATTTATTGAAATCTTCAAAGTGACATGTACAATGCCATTTTTCAATAAGAAGAGCATTTTTAACTTCCACCATTGTAGGGGAGCTATGTCAGGCATGATTTTGTGAAGGGCATTGAGAGACCACCTCTGAAAGGGCCATTTGGTTGGAAACAGCCAGCCCGGATTTATGAGGCAGAGGTTTTTCTTAAACTACCCCTTCGAGGGATGTTCAAAGATATTGTTGCCGTAGGAGACAATGCCAGTTGAGTGAATACTGTAGGACAAGATTTTCAAAAAGCTCTGGATAATGTTTCCCCAGTTAAGGCATTGTTAAATCCAAGTGCTGAGAATCACTTGATAGTGGGAAAAAAAAATTGGGTCAACATTTTAAACCAGCATAACTCAGTCATCTGCAGGAAATGACATCTCTCTTCTGACTTAGGCTGCAAATGAAAACATAGGCAACTGTGTATCTTTTGAGAAAGTTATGTATCTTTGGAGGCTCTATTTCTTTGTCTGTAAGATAGGAAGTAATAATACCTATAGGCATAAAAATTAATTGATACACATTAACCAAAACATCATTCTCATTATTTCAAGGGCATTCCTTTCTCCAGTTGTTCGGGAGAGACAGAGCTTTCTCTTAACGTCTACTGCTATCTTGTTCATCCGGGTCTCTATTGCTTCTCCTACCTCTGACTTGGCTCCTTCATGGCTTGCCTTGCTGCTAACTATTACCTGAAACCCCTGGTCCCTAGGGCCCCTGGAGAAGATGTTCTCCTTCCCTTTGGGCAACAGAAAGGGGTAGACTATGCGATGTCAAGGTCAACGCTACATTTCCTACTCCCCACTGCCAAGGCTGAACTGGTGCGTGCAAATCATTACAACTGTGCATATAGCCCAGCCTACCCTTGCAAGCAGTTTACTTACCTGCCACTAGGTAACAATCCACAGTATTTGTTGAATTGTTGCTGAATATATCGCTGCATTTGTTCCTATCAGTAATTTGAGGTTGCTATCTATGTTGGGCTGAACTGCAGGGAAATGTAATAAGAGGAGACTGTTTTCAAGCCACTGCCTTCCTGTTATGCAGCTTAAATTCCAACCCTCCCTTCCCCACATAAACACACCTTGGTGTCTCCCCTATGTTTAGATTCACATCTCTCAGGAGAGCATTTTAATTGTTCACACAAAAATCCCCACTTCCTTTTAGGGGAACAAACTCAAAGTGGTGGATCTGGCTCTAGGATCATCTTTTCCTCCTTCCTTGCCCCATTCCCCAGAGACCCCGGGAGGAGAAAGTTTGGAAGGGAGCCTGCAAGCTGGGTTTCTTACTCTCTGTTGAATCTCCCCTCCCCGTGACTCTCCTGTCATTTAGAGGGTCGGCTGGGCAACCTCCTGCGTCTGGGCCAGCCCGTGGGTAACCCTGGGAACTCAGACACAATTCATTCTAAATCCACATCAAAGGGGGAGAGAGGGGAAAACAATGTTCTAACCACTCTCCTTGCACCTGATAGCTTGGAGATGACCGGTCTTTGTCATCTGCCTGTGGTTTTTGTTGTTGTTGTTCGTTTGTTTGTTTTTGAGACAGAGTCTCTCTGTTGCCCAGGCTAGAGTGCTGTGGCATCAGCCTAGGTCACAGCAACCTCAAACTCTTGGGCTCACGTGATCCTCCTGCCCTAGCCTCCCAAGTAGCTGAGACTGCAGGCATGCACCACCGTGCCCAGCTAATTTTTTTCTATATAATTTTAGTTGGCCAATTAATTTCTTTCTATTTTTTAGTAGAGACGGGGTCTTGCTCTTGCTCAGGCCTGGTTTCAAACTCCTGACCTTGAGCAATCCGCCCACCTTGGCTTCCCAGAGTGCTAGGATGACAGGCGTGAGCCACCACGCCCGGCCTGCCTGTGTTGTTTTGCTTTGAGAAACATACACACTGCACCCATTCATCCGAACAGGTAGCCTGCAAGGGAGATCATCGTGTGTCTCCTATTATCTCTGCGGGAGTCATTTATCCAGCATAAGCAGGTGGCAACCTCGTCTTGAGCTGTACACACTTTCCTCTATGGCATGACACTTGGGGAAAATGGGGAAAATGCTAAAGTGAGCAGACAGGAGCCGCGGTGCAAACAGTGCTCCGAGGCTGAATGTGATATGTGAGCTTTATCAAGGGATTTGTGAGAGCAGTAGGCAGCCGTGGCTTGGATTGGCAACACAGGAATAGCGAGTAAGTTAAGAGCGCCAAAAGAGAGCATTTGTGAAGTGTGGAGTTTAGGAAGATGAAAATGAGGGCAGTTGCCCCACTCTTAAAACTGGAGCTTCCCGACGCATGAAAATAATACCTGCAAGGTTGAAAATGTGTTTGGGGCCACAGCTTTAAAAATCACAGCAGGGCTCCCTCCCCCAGTGTCAATTCCGTTTACTTTCTTTTCGTAAATGCACAGGTGAGCTGATAAAATGTGACCAACCTACCAGGCTCGTGTCCTCATGTGAGCATTTCCAGGTAGAGCCTAAAAATTACTTTCAGTTCCTTGCAGTTCTATTTTTTTTTTCTATGATCTATTTTTTTTTTTTAATTTCTTTTTTGTGTGGAGGTCTGCTTGCTCTTTGTACACATTCATTTTGTTGGTGGATGGATTTGCTGTGGCGTTTGCATGCAGACATGCTGTTGACATTAGCCAGATGTCTTAATAAGATGCTGTTTACCCTGTGAGTAATAGAAGCTCTGAATCGAGGGAGAGATTGAAGAGACTGGGACGGATTGTGTGAGGTCCCAGCTGGGGATGTGTCCAGAAGGCGTGTCTCTTAAGATGCAGCAGCTAATGGCCTGACCTGGCGGAATAGGAAGGCACGGTTTGGATTTGTCGCAGTTTGTGTTATTTTCCTTCCTTAAACTATCGAAACGTTGTTCTGGGGTTGCCTACCCCACTGCCTTAAAATTGTCTGTTGCTCTCTTGCCTTCTTCCCCTCTCCCTCACCCCAAGTGAAAACAGAGCAAAGTAAGGCCAAACAAAACTTTACAACTCTCCTCCTGGTAGCTGTGGCTGGTAGACAAATTCATCTTTAAATGTGAGGCATCACGTAAATGTGAGGGTAGGTTTAATGGATCAACATGCATCGCAGCAGGTGAAAAGGAGACCACCTCCATCTGTTTGAGCTGCTTTAACAAACTGCCATATACCAGGTGGCTTGTAAATAACGGACATTGATGGCTCACAGCTCTGCAGGCTGGAAGTGCAAGATCCCGGCGTGGCAGAGGCTGTGTCTGGCGGGGACTCACTTCTTGGTTCATAGACGGCGCCTTCTCGCTGTGTCCTCACGTGGTTGAAGGGGCGAGGGAGCTCTCTGGGGCCCCTTTTATTGTAAGGACACCGATTCCATCCATAAGGCTCCACCCTCAGGACCTCATCACCTCCCAAAGGTCTCACCTGCTAACACCATCTCTTTGCAGGTAGGGGTTTCAACATATAAGTTTGGCGGGGTGTGGACACAGACATTCAGGTCATTGCAGAGACCACGTCTGCGCAGGTGGTGCAAGAGCTACGGAATACCAATTTGTCACGAGAGACTTTCCCATTTCTGTAGTCTGGGTAAGATTCCCTTTCTGTGTGTTCACCTGAGATCCTACAGTTTTCCCTCGGTAAGCCTCGTAACCACGTACACAACCCCATGCCTTTCATTTCTGTTTCGTGACAGTAGGAGCCATGGCTGTCCTGTTGGCTACAATCTCTCCAGCACCTGGCACGTACGGTAGACACTACGTAGACACTTTTGGTTTCAGGCGCGAAACCAATGCTAACAGAGTAATTGTGCTTTAATTATATCAGTGGCCCAGCCTTAAATTATGAGCATGCGTGAAGACTCCCTGCTGCATAAAAAATGCAATTGAGGCACCCTGAGTGTAGCAGCATCGTGGGGTCCGTAGGCTGTGCTCACTGGCTTCTGCACACACGGTTGCCTACCCACTCCATGCCCGTTCACCTCCGTTGGTTCATGAGCCCTACTGAAAACTGACAAGCTGTCTCCTCTATTCTATCTTGGTGATCCTAAGGAAATATCAGCTCTTGGTAGGGTTGGAGCAAAGGGAAATAACAATAAACGTCTCCACAGGTCATGTACTCACAGAGAGTTAGAGGGGCTCTTGCATGCCCCGCAGAAAACGGCATGATCATTCAATACTTTCCACTTGGAGACAAGAGGCCAGTTTGGGACCAGATGTTCAAGTTGCCCGTGAGGCTGTGCAACTTGAACGTTCTTCTTGCCAAAGCCCGTCTCTGCTCACAGTTCTACCTGAATCGCTTTGACTCTGGTTTATACCTGCGTAACCACGTGTTCTCATAGAACAGATGGTTGATCTCCTTTGGCCTAAAGACAGTAAGGAAGTTGTTCGGGCACATTACAGATTAACAAGAAAAAAGTGTTCTCGGTGAGCAGAGAGTTCTTTAAGGGGCTTTCCTTCCTCTTTCTTACGGGGACAGATCATCAGAGACAAAGTTCTGAATGCTACAGGTGTGGGCAACACCTTTAGAGGCCCAGGAGATAAGAGAGTAACTTTCCACTGAATATCAGTTGGTTGGAAATTTAAAGAGGAGCAATAGAAGAATTTGTGAAAGTTTTGCTTCAGGGCCCATCACTGAAGCATATGTCTCTGCAAATGGACCATATGTTGGGGGCTTCACAGAGGCAAAGTTCCCAGGGCATCGCCGGGTTTCCCCTAAGTACAGATTAAAGTTCAGCAAATGCTCTCCAAGCTGCTCCTCTGACTTTAGCAGCTGGCCTCTATGTCCAGCAATTAGCCCCAAATAAGCTCCCTGGGCTTCATGTCTCCTTTCTGTTGCCTACTGGCTTTTCTTAGGAGTTTACACTCGTGGGATGACTTTTAGCCTATTTCAGCCATCCTCAAACTATGGCCTGAGGGCCACATGCCGCCTGCCTAGGACATTTATCCAGCCCACCGGGTGTTTTTGCCAGTGCATCCTGTCCTGCTTAGCAGCCGACTCGTCCCGGGCCCACAGTGTGCACTCTCCAACTGGCCTCCTGTTTAAAAAGTTTGAGGACCCTGGCCTATTTGGTGCATGAAATTTGCTATATACATCTCATGTCAGAAGATATCAGAATGAAAGGTGTGGCTATCTGATTCAACCACACTGTGGCTCTTTTATGGCTACCAAAAGGCATGCCTCTCTCCCTATGTTTTTGGCTATGAAAACTTTACAGAATCCTCAGTGAGATAACATATATATGCATATATATATATATATATATATATATATATATAAAGATTATTTGACTGGAAAATTTTTCGGTGATTTTGTTTCAGACAGGGTGTACAATATGCAATGGGAAACAAGCAATGTTTGGTTTTGGGGTCTGTTTGTTTTTGAGGTGCAACCGAGAGAGAACATTTCAGAAATCTTAATATAAACCAAAGCAAGCCAACGTATTACAAATAACACCTCCAGTTTCCACTGCCTTTACCCCCCCCCCCCCACACACGCACTCTAACTTTTCCTTGGCAACTGGTGCAATAGAAATTTCTGATCTTATTATGGCCAGGAGCCATCTTCCACTTTTGACAATTCCACGGCTGCAACATTTTTAAAAAGTTTGACATTGAGATTTGAAAAGCAAATTCAAAACAAGCTACAGCTATCATCGGAGCTTGCTCTTGTCATGGGGACGCAGGAAATCATGTCACTCCAAAGCAATTATGTGGAGCCTGCAGAAGGAAGACAAGCTAAGGTAAGACCATTTCTTTTCCTGCATTGAGAATACTTTGGCAATGAAGGAGGGAAGTCGCACTGGCAAATTTTCTAAGTTAGTAGAACTTCTTACAGTTGATTCTCACATAAGTTCTCTAAATGAGGAGTAAGATTTCTCAACCAAAGCATGGCACAAGTTTCCAGTTTCCCATGTGCAGAATCTGTCTTTCTCTTGTATACACAGATCAGATTTGCAGGGTGCAGAGCAGGTCAGTCTAAGTATGAGGATGGAAGGCTATATGGTTGAATTGTTCAGTCTATCCCTCTGAACCTCAACTTCCTAATCTCTGAATTGGGTATAGCCATAGCTGGTCAAACACAGAAAAGACTCCTTCTCTGAATTGATGGAGACAGATGAAAGTATTTATGGATCCACAGAGCATTGTACCATAGGAAGCCATTACGGTTTGCAGAGCCTTGAAACACTGTGCCCAAGTGTCTGGGAACAAAACAGCTCTTCCTGTTGGGCAGTTAAATCGTCCCTTGATATTAATTGCAGTTAATGTTGAATTGCCTTGCTTTAGATGTTAAGTTCCACAATAGTGGAAGGCAACCCACTTCTTCTGGAGTTTGTTGCGGTAGTTTCTGTGAACACGGGGAGGGGAGGAGGGAATGCACATCCACTTTGTTCATGGAGCTGTCTTGGGATTTCAGACTCCTTGCATTAGTGATCTCTTGCTGCATAACCCATGACTGCAAAATTAGCAGCTTAAAACAACACATATTTATAGTTTGACAGTTTCTGTGGGTCTGGACTCCAGGGGTGGCTTGCACAGGTCTTGAGCTTCAGGGTCTCACGCGGCTGCAATGGAGGCATTGACCAGGAGTACATTTCACCTTTGACTGGGGCAGGATCTGCTTCTAAGCTCATGTGAGCATTGGGAGGATTCAGTTCCTTGCAGGTTACTGGAGAGAAAGTTTCATTTCTTTGCTCTCTTTTGGCCAGAGGCCAGCCTCACTTTCTGGTCTTGCAGCCCTCTCCATGGGACAGCTCTTTTATTTCCTCCAAAGCCAGCCAGCCCACTGGAAAGACAGAAGCCACCGTTTTGTGGAGTTCATCGTGGAAATGATGTCTCGTGGTCTTTGATGTAGTCTGTTGGTTTGAATCAAGTCACTGGGGCAGTCCGCACTCCAGGGACACAAATACCAGGAAGTGTGGGCCATCCGAGTGTCTGTTCAGCATACTCTTCAAGCACAGGAACAACTACCTGAAGCCACGTTCCTCTGCACAACCACTTTCTCATCCCCTCATCTCCTAACAAGAGGCGATGCCCCAGAGCAGCAGGAGTAAATGGTGCAACCCAGTGTTTCTCAGCCTTCACTCATCATTGTCCACTAAGAAGCCTTTGTTCACAGTTTTTCCTGACCCCCCCCCATAAAAATCTAACAGATAGACTGCTTATCTATCTGAGCTTCATGCCTAAAAGGGGTATGTTTTTCTCACCCGCCAAGAGGAAACTGTCATCCCAACTGGGATGATCTTTTCTGCAGTGAAAATGCCCAGTGGAGCTCTGAAGTCAGGCTGCCTGTGTTTCTCTCTGTCCCACCCCTGGTCAGCTTTGCGATCATAGGCAGGTATCTGAAGCCTTCGAACCCTCAGCTTTCCTGACCTGTACAATGAGAATCACAAGGATGCCTATCGTGTACCATCGTTGTGAAGGTTAAAGCTCACAGGACACCTGACTCACATGTAACAGACTTGGTGGATTATAGATAGAGTCACAATAAATGCCAACCTCTATTGCTGTGGTGTGCAGAAAACCATCTCTAGAATGAGGAATTCCAAGATAAGACCAACACAAGAGCCTCAAGGAGGCCCACTGTTTGTTAAAGTATATTGAAGGATCATGAAGGGTGTGAGGTGTGCTGTAATAGAGTTATGGTCGAGAGGTGATCTGGACATAGAAAAGAAGGGGTGTCTAAATTCTGAAAACAAGAGAGGAGGGCACAAGCAAGAAGAGCTTCTCAGAGAAAGGACACTTGGAGGATAAGAAATTGGTTGAGAGCTGAGGAATGAAGAACCAAACTAAAGCAACAGTGATGGTGATAGAGAGAAGGAGGAAGGCTGGA